TTCGATTCGGCCGGCCCACAAGGGGAAGACAGCGGATTCAGACAGGATCAGGATGTGCATACCTGTTGAGGTTGTGAACAGATTCTGTAAAGGTTGTGCTCGTGCTTGCGTACGTAGGTGAAGGGTAACTCGGCTCTCTTTCGTGGGGTTTACATCTGATACCGCCTAGCATATTCAAACAGTTGGGGGGAGCTGTTGGGTTGGGGTGACATTGAAGGTGAAGAAATCGAGCAAGTAAAAAAAAAGAGGGATCAAAAATTCATCACGGAGTTAACCACAAACACTTTTTGGACGTTATTATTCCTTGGGAAAATCGGCGTCTGGGCGGTTATCATTGGCTCCTGCCATCCAGTCGTGTATCACGGTATCGTATCATTCCATGTTGCAGGATTCCCAACATTCACCTCAAAGTATCTCGGTCCGTCATTCAACCCATCCCCATCGTGATCTGTGATTCGACTTTGCAATCTGAAAATGTCCTCTACGCCCCGGACCGGACAGGCAGCTGTCACGGGCGGGCAAGTCTAGAGCCCGAAAACCCCGGAGCTTGGGCAAATGTTGCGAGACCCCTGAATGAATACTAGTCTACCTACCCCAAAAAGGTACCTTTTTCGTGAATTGCATTGGCGCAGCCTCGGGCGGTCAAGGGGAACGCCCGCCGCCCGCCGCCGCGCGCGCGTGGTGCAGTGGTGCATGGAAATGGAGCTCCAATCTCCAGACGTGCAATGGAGAATGGAAGCTACCCACATCCACATCGGAACCACCTCCCAAGAGGCTACATCTCCTGCCATGTCCCTTGCGGAGCCCTTGTCCTGCTGGTCTGATCCCAAGGTATAAAAAGAAGGCTTTCCAACCAACGTCCCTGCTCGTTCTTTTGTTTCGATCCCCATCGTCTTCAGAAAAGATCAAATTCTGTCAAGTCCAGATTCCCGCCGACCATCCCGGTCACGACCTCGCTTCCCCCCCGTAAAGCCAACTAACCATCTGATCGCGCTCCCGAGCCGCGATCCCATCATCCGCCAAAACGTTTTCCAACCTACTCAACTCGTAAGTCGCCCTTCACTGTTCCAAGTTTCTGCCGTCCCCTTCACGTTTCTGTCATCCCTACAACCCACCAACCAACCTGCCGCCCTTCTGCTGTGTTGCCATGCCCTCGTTTGTTGGACCTTCACCGCGCGGGTGTTCGTGAAGGGGCCTGGGGGGAAAACCTTGAGGTCATCCCATATTCCCTGGCCCGTTCACTTGCCCAGCCCACTCATCACCACCCTTGCGGCTCTGCGCTTTGTGCCACCAGCAGTTGGAAAAATATTCCAAATTCCCAACCCTTTGCTAATATAAATATCAGAGTCCATCACCCGTACGCAGGAGCTCGCTGTTCTGCATCACCCGGAAGTTCAGCGGACTCAGTCTTTACACCATAAAAGACTGCCATCAACCAAGATAGCCAACCAACCACTTACCTGCACCTGAACAACCACCCTTACTACCGTCAACATGCCTTCTATCAACGGTACCAACGGCACCAACGGCGCTCATGCCAACGGTGATGGACACATCAACACCACCCCCAAGACTTTCGTTGTCAACTCCCCCAACGTAGTCTACACCGACGAGGAGATTCGCTCCAAGTACACCTACCGCACCACCCTGTGCACCCTCGAGGGCGATAGCTATGTCGCCGTCCCCAAGGAGACCCTCTACGACTTCAAGGTCGACAGAAAGGTCCCCAAGACCGGTATGATGCTGGTCGGCTGGGGCGGCAACAACGGTACCACCGTCACTGCCGGCATCCTCGCCAACAAGCACAAGTACAGCTGGGCCACCAAGGAGGGCACCCAGGAGGCCAACTACTACGGCTCCGTCATCATGGGTTCCACCATCAAGCTCGGCATCGACGCCAAGGGCAAGGACGTCAACGTTCCCTTCCACAACGTCCTTCCCATGGTCCACCCCAACGACCTCGTCATTGGCGGCTGGGACATCTCCGGCTTGCCCCTCGACAAGGCCATGGATCGCGCCAAGGTCCTCCAGCCTACCATGAAGGAGCTTGTCCGTGAGGAGATGTCCAAGATGACTCCCCTCCCCTCCATCTACTACCCCGACTTCATTGCTGCCAACCAGGAGAACCGTGCCGACAACGTTCTCCCCGGCTCCAAGGCCAGCATGGAGCACGTTGAGCAGATCCGCAAGGACATTCGCGAGTTCAAGGCCAACAACGGCCTCGACAAGGTCATTGTCCTCTGGACTGCCAACACCGAGCGTTACGCCGACTTGATTGACGGCGTCAACGACACCGCCGACAACCTCCTCAAGTCCATCGAGGCCGGCCATGAGGAGGTCTCCCCCTCCACCATCTTCTCCGTTGCTTGCATCCTTGAGGGCACTCCCTTCATCAACGGCTCTCCCCAGAACACCTTCGTGCCCGGCGCCATCGAGCTTGCCGAGCGCCACGGTGCCTTCATCGGCGGCGACGACTTCAAGTCCGGCCAGACCAAGATGAAGTCCGCCCTGACCGACTTCCTCATCAACGCCGGCATCAAGCTGACCTCGATCGCGTCCTACAACCACTTGGGCAACAACGACGGCTACAACTTGTCTTCCCAGAAGCAGTTCCGCTCCAAGGAGATTTCCAAGTCCAACGTCGTCGACGACATGGTCGCCGCCAACTCGGTTCTCTACAAGGAGGGCGAGCACCCCGACCACACCGTCGTGATCAAGTACATGCCTGCCGTCGGCGATGACAAGCGCGCCCTCGACGAGTACTACGCCGAGATCTTCTGCGGCGGTCACCAGACCATCTCGCTCTTCAACGTGTGCGAGGATTCTCTGCTCGCCTCCCCCTTGATCATCGATCTCGTCGTCGTCACCGAGATGATGACCCGCATCCAGTGGAAGGCTGCCGAGGCTGGCGCCGCTGCCGAGAAGGACTTCAAGCACTTCCACAGCGTCCTGAGCGTCCTCTCCTACATGCTCAAGGCTCCCCTCACTCCCCCCGGCACTCCCGTTGTCAACGCCCTTGCCAAGCAGCGTGCCGCCCTTACCAACATCTTCCGCGCCTGCGTCGGTCTCGAGCCCGAGTCTGACATGACCCTTGAGCACAAGCTCTTCTAAGCGGTCAGTCGATATGGTTGCGCGGTCATGGTTTCGAAGAGGATCTTAGAGATCAATATCTGATCTCCTAATTGGAGGAATTTCAAGGGGTTTTCACTGTGGAGGAATTGCGAGCGTGTCTTTCGGTTGCTTTCTGCTTAGCACAGCGTTGATGGGGAAAGTTGAGGAAAACGGTTTAAGAGCAGGTAATTGGTCACAAGGAGGGTAATTTGGAAGAGAGCATAGTTGGTAGCTTGGTCTTTGCTGGATGCCTTGATAGGTACAATAATGAACACCGTTCTTACATATCTTGATGATTCTGCTTGTTCTCGGTGAGATGTGTAGTACTAACGTTGTGATTGGTGGTGACTCGACCGGTAAATTCCTGCCACATAGTTCTAGTCTACGCCGCAATATCTTGTCATACCTCGTCCACAACATCCCCGAGCCTCAACCCTTGATATAATCCCGTAACTGCTCAACATGACCATGAACATCGTACATCTCGGTCAGTCAAGTGATATCATATCAACCACAAAAAGTCGCCAATGGCAGTTCTTGTCGGTCATCTTCACCATTCCACGCCCAACACACAGAGCCGCTTAACCTCCGCGGACCAGTCAAACGTCAAGGTAACACGGGAGTACAGCAGTCGTTCCTCCAAATCTTTGAGTGAAGCCGGGTCAACTTTGATCAAGTCCTTCCAGATGTATTGGTGAGGTTGAGGCACAGCAAAATCAGCCTCATGATCTTCCTCATATTTGATACTAGAGTCAGCAATATCCTTACTTGGGGAGGATTCGGTCTTTGTCTCCCCATAAATCTGTTGTTTTCCTTAGGATTGTCATCAAAAGAAATGCCACAACCACCTCTGAGCAACTCAGACCATGCACGATCGCTCCAGACTAATTTGCCCGGGGCAACACATCCTGTTTCGTCGGCGACGGGTTCGGTGACGCGGGGGTTGATGGTTAGTTCACAAGCTTTGTGGCAGTTCTTGCATGTCGCGGACGACTGGTTGGAGTAAAGGGGGAAGTTGCAACTGTATCATATAAGGTATTGTCAGCTTCTGGCAGTCTTTTTACCACAGATAGTGGAAAATAGGATGCATGACATGTGCAACAGATGCAGTGCCAACCTGCGATCGGAACCGCCGCATTTCCCAGCAACAACCAAGACACAAACTTCGTCTAAAAGTAAGTGAAAATGGAGGAGGAAAATCCCGAGAACGCAGCCAGGCCATTTCACAACATAGCTGAATGCGATAAAAATCGCGAAAAGCTCAGTCGCATAGGAGACTTAGGGAACGAACCACCATGCTCCAGCTGCGACCTACGAAACTGTACCACGAGTACCGCGCACCCGGCAATGTCTTCATACACGGAACCGCTCGACCATTTGGCCAAGTGGACCGCGCTGAAATTAAGGCCTGGTGCTGGACCTTATATAGTGCGTAGGGCGAGGGGTAGAGGGGATGGGATGAAAGGCGGACTCGTATGTAAGTACCATGCGGGCTTGGTCCAGTTGACTGATTCACCATTCGAAATAACATAGTCTGTTCTGTCTCTGGGTCTCGCAGATGCTGGCGCCGATTATGAGGACGTTGAGCTTCCCAGTGAACACAACGCTGGGGTCCTCTCTCACCCTCTCATCCACGTCTGCCAAGGTGTACAGCACCCTGTTGGGCCGTTGATAGCATCTTCAACATCCCAAACGCCGACGGGGAACGGGATGGGTATGCGCTCTCTTTTTGTTAGGGCTTCTGTCATCCTTCGAAGCCAGTGGGCATCTGGGAAGTCGGGATCCACGTCCACTATTGAGTTCAAGGCAATACCCAGTCCTGGGTTTATATTTCTTTTGCGAGGATGAAATATTGGGTTGGTAATGAGTAGGACGGTATGTCCAGCAGTCTATTCGCGTGCTGAAACAATCTGGTCACTCCAGAGTCTAATCACGTAGTGGTCAGTCTTGTCACACACATGAACCTCAACCAGGTCTAGAGTGCCTGGCTTGTTGTTGGTCTTGATGGTTTTGCGAGGGCCGACGCTGGAAACGCAGACGAGGACTCTTGTTAAGGTGTCGTTGTCATTCTTCTCATGGGTTTGCGTGCCTTTCATGAGGGCTTTGAGACTGATCAGTCCCGGCATCTCAGAGGCCGGAGAACCGGTGTCATATTCGAGAGGGACACGACAGAAACCCGTCTCCTCTGGGTTTGATCCCTCTTGGTGAAACTTGATACAGGATTGCGAAGCTGGGCCGGGGTGTACTGGAACGATCATCGACACGAAAGGGACCTGGATGATAGAGTTCTTGCCCACAAAGCCCGTCCATATCGTTACAAGCTTCCCGATGTGGAGGTTGGGAATATCGGATTGGGTGGCGAGAAGTTTGACCTGGGCGGGACTTCAATGTTAGCCAGAGGTCCGCAGGTTGCTTCTAGAAAAGTTGAGAAGATAAAATGAGGAAGATGATATACTCACGCCAATTACTCCCGTATCGTCTTTGACCACCAAAAGTGGAATCCAGAGGGAAGAGAGGAAAGAGCTCTGGGCTGATTGTCGGGCTTGTCCGGGGATATGTTGACAATTCTCCCCATGAATCGGACCTTGCCTCTTCCTGGCTGAAGTTCAGAAATGTTGACTCTCTGATAAGTGTCCTGTGGCTTCCAGATTTCTTTCAATGGCTTTCAGTTTGTGCCCGCAGGGCGGGATCCGAGTGATCCTTGGAGTGTCGAGGCCTGGGAGAAGGCAGAAGAGGCAGGCGGTTCCTTCTGATAGAAGGATTGGATCGGCGGGATGACCATGGCTGGGCAACCTCAATGTCACGTAATGGTTCCAGATAGTTGCAAAGAAGCTTCCAATTCAACGGACTTGATAAAAGTTGCCCGCTGGGTCCGCAAGGCTTGAGGTTGAACTTGACGGGACTGGAGGTCCAAGTTAGTAGACTGTGTTTGTGTGTGTTGCTGCGTTCAAATGAGGTGGGGACAGATTGGGAAATTGAACGCGAAGGACAGACCACGACCAAGGTAGGAGGTGCACTCCTGGGAGTGGAGGCACGCAGGACTGCTGTTCTTTCCATCTCGAGGAAGGTGCTTGAAAGCACTTTCCTATCATGAGCAGCAAGAGCCAAGGGAAGAGCGGGAGCGCGACCCATGGCTCCTTCCCTCACAAATACGTGCCATACACGCTGTTGAGCAGTTGCGATCCTCCGTTATATTTTATCCATCAAACACGGTTCCCGCTCCGTAGTACCTCATCGACACTCTCTTCTTCCACTGGTAGATACACTCGGCTCTATGGATGCATTCGGTTATGTAGAAACCCACTACCCTTCCAAGGTATGTACAAGGCCACATCTGGCACACATTTCAGCCCATTGCTTCCATCTGTTCCCTTCACATTTCCAACTCCTTGGCTATGAGATAAAGGCAGGCGTTATACCAGCACCACGTTCTCCTGGTGATACAACCTCCATCATCCTGCTTGCGAGAGGCGCGAGGGCTAACAGCGTCGGCCCCTGTCCATGTCTCTCTAGAGTTTCGATTTGATATCGCCAACCTCCTTATCCGCGCGATCCCGAAGTTGCCTGCGCAAAATCTTGCCGGACTGTACGAGTTACACGTTAGCACCCAGACACCTGCAGCATCACAAAACATGACTAGAACTTACCGGATTCTTCGGAATGTTGTCGGTAAAAACAACGCCGCCCTTCAGCTGCTTGTACCGGGTCACCTTGCCGGCCATCCAGTTGGCAATCTCCTGTTCAGTAATCCTTGACTGGGGATTCTGACGGACAATGTATGCTCGAGGAACTTCTTCGCCGTTGATTGTCACGCCAATCACCGCTGCATCGGCCACCTCGGGGTGCTCGAGCAACAGTCCTTCAAGCTCAGCAGGCGCCACCTGGTTGCCCTTTACCTTGATCAACTCCTTGAGCCGGTCGACGATGTGAATAGTTCCACCGGGCTTGTACGCGTCGAAATAGGCAATGTCGCCCGTCTTGAGCCAGCGAGTGCCATCTGCGTCGACGACAATGGTATCGGCTGTCGCTTCCGGCTTTCGCCAATAACCGCGCATCAAATTCGGGCCCGTAACCCAAAATTCACCTCTTTCTCCTGCCTTCGTGATCTCGGTCTTTCCGTCCAGCGACATCAGCTTTCCGGAGCAGTTGGGCATCATCTCACCCACGCCTGAGCTGGGCTCCTTGTTGAGAGGATCCCATGACATGCAAGTACATGTCGTTTCGGTCATGCCCCAGCCCTGGCGAAGGAGAAACTTTCCATTGAACAGCTTCTCCGCCTCATCAGAAACCTCCTTTGCCAACGGGGCAGCTCCGGAACCCATTCCCTCGACGCTTGAGAGATCGTACTTCTTGGTTAGAGGGGATTTGGCCAATGCGACCACAATGGGTGGCACGCACGTGAGTGAGGTAATCCGATAGCGCTGAACATACTCAAGCATCTTGACGAAATCGAAGCTCGGCATGATGTAGATGGGGATGCCGGCCCGAGGCATGTTCGCGACGAAGTATGTCTGGCCATAAGCGTGGTACAGGGGCAGGAAGCAGAGGGCACGAGCTCGCTTTTGCCGTTCCTGCCAGTCAGGATCGAGCTCGTTGAGGTGAATAACCTGAACTCCGTTTGCGACATAGCAGTAATGGCTGATCTCAACGCCCTTGGGAACTCCAGTGGTTCCGCTGCTGTAGTTGAGACAGCATGTCGTGGTCTGCGGATCCTTTGGCTCTTTCCAACTCCAGCTCTCGGCTTCTTTCGCGTTCCCCTGAAGGAGTTCTGTCCAGTGCTTGGCTCCCTCGATCCGACCCTTCAGGCCTGGTCCGGGATTGGAAGACAGCGCTACTTCCTGTGCTGCGGGAGTATCTCCGCCGAGAACGTAAATACGATCCCTTGGTAGACCTGCCTCCTTAGCTGCCTCAAAAGCCGTCTTGACAGAGCCCTGTGCCGTGACGAGGAAGGTCGCTTCACTGTCGCGAAGTTGATAGGCCAGCTCTCTGGCCACAAAACTGGGATTAGCACCTGTGAAGATGCCTCCAGCCATCAAGATGCCAAGGAAGATGGAAGGGAAGAAGATGTTGTTGCCAGAGAAGACGAGCACTCTGTCGCCTTCCTTCAAACCGGCTTTCTGTAAGCCCAAGGCGACGCGCTTGGACAGGAATCGATAGTCGCTGAGGCTGAGGTAGTTGGTATCGGGTTGCTCGGGGTCGATATATGCACGACGGTCTGGGAGAGGACCGCAAGGCGAGTCAAAGATCCATTGTTGCAGTGAGCACCGAGGAACCTCGGCGGTCCATCGTGACTTGACCGGCATCGTGGGGGTGGGCTTTTCTTTGAAGGTATCTGCTGAGAAGGGTTTGTGAACAATGGGTCAAGTACCGGCACCACCTCTCGCTTATATATGTTCGGGGGCGGGGAAGGGCGGAAAGGAAGTGAGTGAAGGACAGAGCCACTAGGTTTCAAAAGTCCAGCGCCACAAGATAAGTGAATGGGATGGCTCAACGGGAACAGCTGGCTATAGGTGAAGCACGGCAGTAGCGTACCGAGAGGTTACCATTCACTCGAAGCCGCTGTTTGGACAGCCCTCATGACCTCCCTCCCAAGGAGGGACGGAAGATAAATCCGTTCCCCAGTGCCGCCACTCCCGCATACCTCAGAATCTCGAAATGTATGGACAGGTACCGGTAGGAGTGAGTGGACAGGTTGCCTGGCAGCCGAACGAACCTCGCCTACTCTCGCGAACCCCCCATGTTCGTCAACAAAATGTAGGCATTCAAGGTTGCCCATTTCCGGAACTCAGCTCGCGGTCAATTGGCTGAAGGCATGTGGGTGTCTTCCTCCCCCGCATTTACAGGGGAGCAGATCCCCCGCAACAGCTTGGATCAAGGGTTGTTGTGCCGAGGCATGGAATCTCTCCTCTTCGAAGAAGCAACTAAGGAACTGTCAAAAGAGATGGGATTCCCTGATACACAATGCACTGAAAACAGGCGTCTTAGGTCCAACAGAACGTTGGGTCGTATATGACACGGAAAACTTCTGGTCTCGGCTGTGACGACGAAGCGATACAGGGGATTAGCTTACGAGGTTGAAGAGAGGTACCAACGTCAACCTTGAACTGTTCGCTTCAAGCTTATACGGGGGATGGAATGGCCAGCCTCGACTGTCCCCAAAGCTGCTCGGTCGTGATAAATAGAAGCTTTACGAGAAGTCCCCGGGTAATGGGTGATCTAGGTGATAAGGCGTGATGTTCACCGTCCGAAAGGCGGCATTGACCAAACACCACATAGTAAAACTTTGAAGCATTTGGTTGTTGTTTGTCGTACATTTAGGGTGATCGCGCCGCCTTCCGGCATAGAGGCTCGTCGTGCCATGGGAAATTGTAGTAGAAGTACAATATGTCCGGTAGTTCGGTAGCTGCCCAGAGCTCCGGAGTGGTACCGGATCGCGGAAAAAGCGGTTGAAGTTCTTGCTTTCCACCTACCTACGCACGTACGTACTTCTCAAAGTACCTACCTGTTGACTGTGTGTGGGAACTGGCCTTTGCGCTGGCCCAGGGCTTCGGCTTCTAAAAGAACGTCATTTCAACCAAAAGTGCCTTTACATATTTGTCTTTTCGATATCCTGTTTCTTTGTTTTATAACGTTCTCGATCGGAGGGGTGCACTAGGTATGGTTCATTGAACCAACCGGAGTGATAAACATCAAATTACCGACCCAACAGGCGGGTGCCAAGACCGAGTACTTCCACGCTAGTCACGCATCATAAAAGTCTAGATACCGCACGCAGGTACACTTATGCACGGACCATCGCTTGCTGAGCTCCGAAATGCGACAACGACGGTCATGATCTCAACTGATGTTGGTATGTGGTCATGGACGCTGGCTTCATGACACGATGAGTACTAGGAGATAATAGGAAGTCAGGTAACTCAAGACATCTAAGTCTTAAAACATCAACATCTTGTCGTATTGGACTTGTGGTCGCTCTTCCCCCCTTGTGTTTTCACCACGTTCGAGAAATACCAAAGTGCAACAAACCGACTGCAATCGCAGATAAAAATCCAGCATCACTTCACCTGGCGAGTTGCGGTTTGCACAGAGGATTCTTCATTTGACCATCGCATCGCATCCAACAACCACCACCATAAAATCTGAATACTATCCGGCTACATAAACGCACTGGCTTCTTGACTTGTCGAAAAAGATCCTAGTTTCGCCTCTACAACAAAACAAGCTACCGTCTTAAAGATGGCTCCCCCAATGATTGACCCCGCGCTCTTCGATCAGCTCAAGGAGAACATCGAGAAGGACGGCAGTATTCGCAAAGACCTTGAGAAAATCATCGAGGAGCTCAACCAGCATGTCTCTTATACTCAGGGAGTGTTGACCAAGATCCATTCTACTCCTCGTTCAAAGTGTACGGTTTTGCAGCCGAACTGCGTTCTCTTTCATTTACCAACTATCCGGTTCCTCCAAAGCCCTTCCCAAACAGTTTTCTACCCTGGGACTTGTGGAATGAGGCGTCACGATCATGTTAATGGTGAATTCATCAAAGTTTGAAACTGGGTGCTGACTTGCCAACTTAGATCCCGCACTGCTTGCTCAGGTCGAGGGTGGTATCAAGAAAGAGCTGGAGACTACAACTCGTCTATCCCAGTTTTCCTCGCAGTATCCTTACTACAAGTTAGTATAAACACCGGTCACTTACTTGATCCCACGAGCTGACGGATTTTCTTCACAAGGTACAACTACAAGTGGGGTCGCACGCTTCAGGATGCCATCGCGACCGTTCTACTTTGCGCCTGGTTGGGTGGCATGGGCAGCGACAGCAAACCCGGTGAGGTTGGTCGTCTCTTGACGCTGGAGGAAGTGGGCGAGGTATTCGGAGGTAAGATCTCGTGGCTTCATCTGGTCCGCTGGGAAAGCGGTCCCAGATGGCACAGGACAAACCGACGCTTACAATTCATGAACTAGTTCCCGTCAACCTCAAGGACCGTGACGCCTTCCACATCACCATCGAGGAGTATCTCCTGGCCCTCATCTCGGTCATCGAGGATCTCAGCCGCCTCGCCATGAACTCTGTGACGCTGGGCGACACAGAGCTGGCTGTGCAGATTAGCGGGTTCATCAAGGATCTTCACGGCGGGTTCCAGATGCTCAACTTGAAGAACGACATTCTGCGCAAGAGGACGGATTCGGTCAAGTACGCTGTTAAGAAGGTCGAGGATGTGGTCTATGACTTGTCTTTGAGAAACCTCATCCCGACTAAGGAGGCTCAATAGGCGATAAGTAACCATGGGTGGCAGCGATTTGAAGGTTCGGGTCATATGAGATAGCCCATCGAAGTCATGGTTGATGAGCATTTGGTCGTTGTGTATGACCCATCATCAATCTAGTCTCGGGGGTATACCCGGCTATATGAAAGCAGAGATCATCGCTTCTGCTAAACTCTTGAACCTCGGCCAGTATACCAAAATCGGCCAGTATACCAAAACCTATGAAGAGAATAACACATCAAAGTACCAAGCAAGGTTTTCTCCCATCTTTTATTACTCCTCATGCCACGAGGACACAAGTGACATCTTCACCAGAGGTGTGAGCAATCCAGGGTTAGGGGTCTGGGCTCAGGGGCTTGCAGTGGAGACCTAGTCTAACCGTTCCGCCCACCGTCGATTGGAAGCTTGGCCTGTTCATTCAACCAGCAACATTGCTTTTCTTCAACTTTCCTTGCGACAGCTGTTCGGTTCAACGACTGTACAGGTACAGTCCACTACTTCCACTACATCGACAATCACGATTGAAGCCACGAGGTTTCTTCAGCTTGTCCAGTTTTAGCTCATTCCATGCAACAATAATGCCCCTCGTGGACCCGGTAACAATGTCCTCGTCAGCAATAGTTAAGGGTACTGTAGCCCAGTCGGCCTCGACAACGAAAGCTACGTCCGGAACCCAAGGGGCAGA